TTGTGGTCCCCGAGTTGAAAGTGCGGGATAAAATGTGGGACACACACACACACACACACACACACATACAGAGATGACTCCGTGACAGTATTTGTTTTGTACTGCTGTTACACAATGCAAAATGCGTAAAAACCGGTACCAGAAGTGTATACCTGGAAATGAATGAAATTTGCGATCAGTGAAATTACTAGCTGATGATTACAGGTTGTAACACTATGGTATCGCCCACCTGACGTATTGTTCGGCGCAAAATTCTATAATACTTCAATTGATATGTGGTCTGCAGGATGTATCTTTGCCGGTGAGTGTTAATTACACGGCCTCTCGATATTCACCAGAAACTTGATACTTGAAGCCACTGCTATTTCACCACTGATTTTTTAGTGGGATAGTTGGAAACCATGCCATTTTCTTTCATTTTTCATTTCATGGTTTTTTTGACCAGTGATTCATTGCCTGATGGTTAACCGTCTGGCAATTTTGGCATTCCTCAAATTTGGATTATTAAACATCTTAATACTCAGGATGAACGATTGTTTTTTCTATTTTTCCACTGATAATTGTTGTGATTCTAGAAACTGCTAATGCGGGAAGGCCGTTGTTTCCGGGAGCCGATGTGGATGATCAGGTGAAGAGGATTTTCAAAATGCTTGGCACACCAACAGATGATACATGGCCATGCCTTTCGCAGCTTCCCGATTTCAAGGTTCTCATTTTGTCAATATTTTTCGAACCAGTGGCTTGCTCTTCAGCTTTCAGCATAGCAAGACTTATTTTAGCTGTAGATTCCGTGCCCAATATCGTTCTTTTTCCTTCTCTCCGTCACTTTTCAGCACTATAAGACGTGGCATTTTAATTGTTACTTTCGTATTTTTCAGTAGTTTGCAGCACTAAATTTAGTGTTGTTTGAACTCGTTGATCGATTTTGTGTGCAAATTTGAACGTGAAGATTGTTTTTCAAAAAATTTTATGCCTTTTTAGCAAAATTCTGCGTTCTTTTGGTTAGCGTTCCATGCTTACAGGCTCGTTTTGAAATCAGTTTGGCTGAGTTTTATGTTTTACTAGCATAATTTTGCAACTTCCAGCTCACTTTTAGCACCAGATGACTTAGCTGCCATTATTACGTTTCTGAAAGTCTTGCAAGTTTTTTGTTTTTTCAGCCGATGCCTCTTTATCATCCATCTGTCACGTTTGGCCAAGTGGTGCCGAATCTGTCAGCGAGAGGACGCGATTTGCTTCAGGTCTGTGAAATAAGAATTATTGAGAATACCTAAGAATTACTTGATACTTGAAACGGCTAAGAGTTCAGCGCTGATTCATCGTTGGTGTGGTCTACTTCGTTCTATGCTTGGTTTGACCAGGGCTATATCGCTTGATTTTCAGCTTTTTGCCGATCCAAATGTTTTATTTTGTCTCCTAAAAGGGGTTTCTTATCCGAAGCGCTTTGGTAAGGCTTCAGCCTGCGAATCACTCGAGGAAATACAGTGTTTCCTCGTTCACACCGAGTGCTTGCTCTTATGAAAAATACCCCAAGTTTGTAGGGCGCATATTCTCAAAGTTTAAGATCAATTTCACTATTTTTCAAGAAATTCAGCACTCTAGATGTTTCGGTTGTGGAGTTACGTCAAATTTCAAGTGTTCGTACGTAAGAGCAAACGTGGCCGCCGTTTATAGGTACGTTTGCCCAAGTCGGCGGTTTTGGATCATGCTTAGAAAAATTCAGCATCTGTTTTTCAGCGACTTTTGGTTTGTAATCCAGAACGTCGCATGGATGCCGAATCAGCACTGCATCACGACTATTTTGATGATTTAAGTGAATGCTGAATATCATGGAGCAGCTCCACAGATATTTTTTATCCTGAGAGAATGCTGGTCCCTCCTCTCATCGCTTCTTTTTCCTATCACCTTTGCTAGATAAATTTTTTTCTCCTTCGTTTTTGCTTTTCAAAAAAAAAGCATCCCGACCAGAACCTTCGTTCACGTATCTTTGCGAACATTCTCCCGCCACAATAAATATTTCGTTTCCAGAACTAGTCCTAGGAAGCTGAAATTTTGGGAACATGTCCTCTGTCCTCGGTATTTTTACGTAATTCCTCTCGCCCTCCGTTTATTCGATTTTGATCGCAAATACAGCATACGGGCGATTTCCGAGGATAAAGCTCGAGATCCCTTTGAATAATTTTATGCTGTTATGGTCTTCAATCAGCTTTTAAGCTTCACTATTTTTTTTAACACGTTTGTTCATTAATTTTCTCGAAGTTTTATTCCAGCTAGTTTTATAATTTCAGAGCGGGACAGCAGGGTAAATTTTGAAATCCTGATGTATTTGCAAACCATGTTGGCAGGCATGGTTAGCGTTGCTTCTGTGCCATAGGATAACCAATCCATCTACGATTCGTTCATTCCTTTTGATAGTGTAAATTGGTACTAGCGCATGTCAGAAGGTTAAACTTTTCATCATCTCGTTTCTTAGCAATACTTGAAAGAGTTCGCCATCGATAGCCGTAACAGTTGCTGCTGTTAGCACATGCTGTCATTTAGTCCACTTCTGAGAGTGGTTTTGCCCCCTTCGCGAAGACTGAATGCGGACAGTGGCAGTGTGTAGTTCCGAAGTTGAGTTTTGATAATTTTCACCGTATTTGGGGTGATAACTGTTAATTCACAAAGTTTGGTTCGTCAACGATCTGCAGCTGGCAACTTTTCAAATTTCGTTGACCAGTGGTCAACCTGCTGCTTCTGCTGGCCATCCTGTGATGTCCGTTTCGTCTTTTGAAGGGATCGAGGGATAATCGGTATATCCACTGATTTATGATTTTGTTGTTTTTTAAATGTGATTGATGCCAAAGCTCAGTGCTTGAACGATCTCATTGCTCTGACATGGTTCAGTGTCTGTCTTCCTTCGACGTTGTGATGATCCGTGCTGCTTTCATTGTTCTGTCCTGTTTCTTGCCATTTC